AAACTAGTGCCATCACACCGGGTGATTTTGTCTTAGTTCACTGCTGTCAGGAGCTCTTAGCATGAAATATAAACTTCATGGATACGTGGTGACTTCCTGGACTGGATGCGTTCCAAAAATGTACTACAGGAGGCTCACTAAAAATATTCGTTGCTTAAACGGATAGTGGACGAACAGTGAATATTCCAATAATTCCCCAGAATTAAACCAGGAAAACAGTACAACTTGCCTTAATTTCGTGAAGAGAGACAACTAATTGATGTGGTCCGCTTTCAGAGGGGTCCCTTTTGTAGAAGTGACCTCGTGTTTAAATATGTATATTTTCGTAGTGATTGTGGCGTGGTTTGTAATCAGTTTCTAATCGACCCTTAAAACAGATCACTTTGAATCTACACACGGAACAAAACTTGGGCCTACAAAAAGATCGGGACAAAAAACTTACCCACAAAGGTGTCTGATAAATATTTTAGGCACATGTATTTTCCCTGTACTATTTGATCTCACTACATTATTGTCATCAACAGGCAGGGTTATTTTCGCATAAAGGACTGGACAAATATGACATGACCTTCATGTGAAAAATGCATACCTTATCTAAAGAATACTCTCAAACACACCGTATATATTAGAGGGGATGGCTACAAAGAATATGTGGATGACAGCAAAGTTCATGATGAAATGCCTAATAGTAAACACGAGAAACGCTTGAACGGAGTTGTAAATGTGATAATCGGATACATTTATTCAGCTGATGCAAACACGGGTATGCCCAGCTAAACTCATGCAATATGATTCATTTCATCCGGAGATCACACGTACTGTACATGACTGGACGCAAACAAATTATTTCAGCGGCCACTATGGTGAAGCTTAGAAGGTCATGCTACGCGCAAAAGCATGTGGATGATAATTATACCAAGTGTGGTTGGTTCATACACATGAAGTTATTCCAGTACTAGGTAAAGGTGAATCATTGGTACCTAATCTCAGATTCATGCTTTTCTAGTTTCATGAAGGAAACTACTCACGAGTTTCCTGAAAACATCTTGACCGCCCACGCGCAGCTTCACCTTTCGTGGAGCTCATCAGGTAGGCACGGTCCCGGAGTTTCAGTCTAACTCATGTTATACATCAATCCAAGATGACATATACACTTGCTCGCATGCCACTCTAGTTTTTACAAGGGACTCACCTGATACCAATTTGTATATTCCGCTTATGACATTCTTCAAATAAATGTGCTTAACAAATGACGTCTCTTGTTTCTGTTGGCACAATAATGGAGATATCGCAGTTATTTTCTTTAAGGAGCACTTTCCACGTGATTGCGGAAAGAACGTCGGTAGTACAAGACCGGTTTCGGTCCTCTTGTGATAAATCAGGTATGCGCAGTCCCGGAGATTTCACCGGTCTTATACCCTACATGTGCACAAACTGCATGTTGAAAACAGTTTGGTGTGCAAAGTGCAGAGTTTAGTTTTTTTTAGGACATACGCTTGACGGAAACTCGGAGACATGTGTCTACCTGATGAGCGCAAAGCAGAACGGCAAATTCGTCTGTAAGTTTTGTGTTCCTTCAAGAAAAGACTCGTTCTTGTTCTTGGGAAGCTACGACGAAACAGCCCATATTAGGATTGTTCCAAATAAGTAAACACTGAGTGCTATCATGAAGTCCAAACTTGTTATATTTTATTTTTTCTATTTTTTTATTTTTTCTGCGCCCACCCAGTTGACCGGACATATGCGGTTCGTCAGCAGACTGAAAATTGTCTCAAGGCTTCATTTATTCTAATATTTAGGTGTGCACAAATAAAGTCATGGTGATGGTAAGAGATCTTTAAACATTCAAAAGAGATTCCATTTTGTCAGTGAAGCCAGCGTATGCTGAAAAGCCAAGAAGTACCGTACAACTGTCTTATCCTTATTGGCAATCAACAGTAGTGTGCATCTCATCACACTCAGAGAGTTTCCAACCAGCCAGTGTCTGAAAACTTAACCGTCTGGCCAAGAGTGGCTGATCAGCTTTCACGCTTCAATAACCGGAACCACACCACGTCGTCAAGTATTGACTGGCCTCTCGGAGGACAGCTCCTGAGAACGAATTTTGACACATCCAGTGAAATTACCCTTCCTCCGGGCTGCCTACTTTTTCGTGGTAATGTTAGGAGATTTAGTAATATTCCATGGAATTCCGTGACACAAACTCAAAACGAGCTCAGTACTCGTTCTGGTTTGGAATGCATCCTCCAATCTCTGCCCTTGAAATGAATCCGACCTGTGTTTACAAAGCCCCTGTACCCAGACCTGCCACGACTTTGTCAAACAAGCAAGTTGGACTTTGAACTAATTATCCCACGTAAATAGAAGGTCTTGGCTATTTATTCATTTATTGAGGCAAATACAGAATGGTGAAAACCTAGAGGCAGACATGTTCGACAGGTTATATGGGCATGAAGATGATGACGAAGGGTTTGGGTGCTGTAGGTGTGATCCCATTTGTGAACAACATGACGAGTTTTAGATGATGGTCTTAGAAACATGCACTCGATTTGTTGGCCAATTTTAAGGCTGTTTTTCAAAGACTCATTTGGTCTGACAAAGAGGTGATAAGTTATCGCTGGAGAGGTCGTTTAACGTACACTGGCAACTCAAATCCCAAACAAATGCCCTACCAGTCTGCGCGCACCTATAGTGGACTTGTGTACTATGAGCCACTAATGTAATGAGGCCACCTAGCAGCTTCTACGAAGTGGCAGCATAACAAAGGCGTGAACAGATTTTCTTGTGCACTTTTGTTGTCCGTTCGATAAACAAATATAATGATCTACATAACTGCTTCAACAGCTTACCAGATTTATTCGCCTGAAAAGGCGCTGAGTTTTCCCAGGATAAAGTTGATCGAACAACAAAAAGAACAAGAATTTGTTGGACAGGACACATTGCTGATCGGTTGAAAAGTTTGCGTAAATCCACTATTATAGCATAAACTTTGGTGGGAAATATTATTCGGTGAGAGCCTCCATCTTCCCCGTTTCGGTTTACTGTTCCACTGAACAATATAGGAACAGCTCGCAGTTAACTGTATTTATATCTGACGTAATGAAGCTTGTTTATCCACAATACGTATTAGTTTTGGTCCAAGGGGATTAGCAGTCGAGCTCTACTCAACGGGCACCTGTCGTCCACACATAAAATGAAACTAACCAATCAGAATTTAGAGTATAACTTACACCCTATCCTCGCATAATAGCCGCGTGAAACCTTTGCATCGCGACAGCCAACTGTTTTAGTTCACTTTGAAGTGAAGCAGATGGAATTCCCACTGATGTATCTGATCCAGTTAGACAGATGAAAACACACATTCTGATCGGATAGCGTCCCGAGGTGGTTTGGCTAATTTTCGAAAACCGCTCGTTTGTTCGCTCGTTCATTGCAAACTTTAGCTAAGCTACTTGATAGATAACCAAACAGAAATTTCTAAATCGATGTGTGTGTCTGATAGCATGCAGAATGTTTTTCCGTGCGTTTGGAAGTGTTTAAATGTAACAAAAGCAACCTTGTTCTGACTAGTCACGCCAATGATTGAAAGTCGCGGTTGATTGATGTAGCATGTAAATTCTCATTCACCCTTGCTAGAACAAGCCACAGAACCCTGATATATGGGATGCTGTAACGCACTGAGTGGATTAGTATGAGACACAGTAGTGTTTCCTGGATAGTTCGCAGTAGTGTGTAAAACGAAATAAAGGTTGCTTGGTTTTTACAGCCCAAACACAGTTCAGTTTGGCTCAAACCATTTTTTAAATCAACGGAAAATAGTAGCACTACTAATGGAGTATTTAATCGCTTTTTATCACCAGTGCTGAGGTCGTGTGGTGTGCTCCAGTACCTCCGATTGCTGCTGGATAACGCGACAACTTCTAACACTGTGAGCAACGACTCATCAACACGTATGTACCAGTGTATCTAACAATCAATCTCAATTAGCTTGAGATGTCTCAGTAGTAAAGGTGCGGTTATATTAGTCGAAAGGTCCCTGGTCCGAACCCGAACCCGACATCCCCCCCTCTTCTGCGTAGATTTGGGTAGTGTCTCAGCCCACACGCCTCCTTCGGATGGCACGGCAGCTAGGTACCGACGAAAGGTTTTACGAATTACTACTATTATTCCTGCAATCAGAACTAAATTCGGGACATGAGGTGAACTCTGGCAGTTTAGATGATCGGGTGATAAATATATCGTCATGGCAAATGATCGTTATGTTAATAGTACAGATCAGGACTCGATTTCCGTAAATGTGGATAAAGTAGTTCATATATACTATGCTTGGGATAGCTGCGTCGTTAAGGCACGAACTTACTGGCCAGGAAGTTCGCGGTTTTAGTTAAATCTTGGCAAAAACCGTCCATTTCTTGGCTTGGGCAGCCTGGAAGTATCTCAGAGCTGGTAATTCACTCATGTAGTATGGCAGCTAGGCACCGACGAAGGGTGCTACAGCTGGAAGGTAATCTTCCCATAATTTTCTCTTGAAAGCTTCTTTTCTGTGTGCTTTCTTTTGAAGTATTGAGTAACGTTCTATCAGAATTCGTGTGTTACATTAAACTTGGTGCTTCCAAACTATTACTGAGTAGCTTGATTAAAAAGGTTTTGGTTCGTGATTGGTAATTTTCGAAACGTCGATAATACTTGGTTATTACACAGTACTTCGTCCCATATTTCACGTTTGTGACTAGATGCCTGCTTCGCAATCATTACGCGTACTAACAAATGGTGCTATGTATATATCTTAGGCGATTTCTTTTATCCGAATTTTCCATACCGACAGATTTATGGTTTCACCGTTTCATCCAGATTGTCACTTTTACCCTCTGAGCTGAATACATTTCTGTAGTTAGCGTTAGTGTCATTTTAGTCTACAACGGTATCCACGTGTTATCATGCGAAGTGCGCTCTTAGTGACTCTTATCCGTTTTGTGAGGAATCTGTTCGGGCGACTTATTTCAGAGTTTCGTAAACTTGACATCCTCCAAACTTTCGGATGGTACTGAGACCAGTCGAAGTCGACAGAATCCCAATTCCTGATAATGTATAGAATTGAATGCCAAATAGCTGGATATGTCAAATAAGACATTTAAGCGGAAAAAGAAACTTTGAAGTGGCCAGGCTTCGAGAAATTTTACTTTCTTTGGGTGGTAATTGTAATTCGTCTCATGTGAGGAAACTTTACATATCTCGAAGTGAGTGTACTACCTTTGCAAAAAATCAAGATTGGACCTTTTCACACGAGACCGGACTGGTGCCAGTCAGTGATCAACCGTCTCGTTAGTCATCTCATACAAACCTTGTACTGGATGAACTTCCGTTCCTCTGTTATCCCTAAAATTCACCTTTCACTAGACTCCAAATTCAGACATCAAATTATTAGTCATAATTGCTCAGGCTACCAAGCATTCTTTTCTTAACAGACTCTCGTACCACATCTCAGGAGAATCGAATCATCCTGGAACTTGCTTGGCAGGTTTCAGCAAACTTTAGAGTTTGATCCGTTCTTCAACTTGATTCCTAATAACTAGTACATATTCCTTAATTATACCCTCGTTCTCTTATCCTAAATGATAGCCACAACTGATTCACAAAATGTAACACAAACATCTTGTTTAACTTATTCGCAGTGATGCTCCCGGACAAAAAGCATGTTGGCATATTTATCCGCCAATTCTTCCAAACCACACAACATAATTAGTTAAACCGACTTTATATTCCTTGAAACCTTACCCTGAGTAACCAGCGAATCACCTCAAGCGTTTTTTTGACGCTTGCTGCTCCATGAAGACCACAATCGTTTGATATAAGCCATTCCTATCGGCTCGAGAATTACGTTTTTGCAGACGAAACTAGAATGCTTATCAGTGTTGTCAGACTAACCGCCATCATCATCATCATCATCGACAGCATGACATCAGTGTTCAACACCGGTGCTTCACTGCTGTAATCAGACTAACCGAGTAAACTTCCTGTTAAACTTTATTAGAACCAAACTTTATCCTTCTAAAGCATCCTGTTTTCGGTCTGTTTTGTAAAAACCCAGTTATTATAAGGTGTTCTACATGATGAAGCTGCCTTATGGTGGCTGATCAAGGTGAGAATATGACCCTTCAAAACGAAACAAGACTTTCTGTTCCCTCTAATCCTTCTAATCGTCGGATCCTCCTTTCACGCCCCCGATCAAAATTTGAATCATCAAACGTTATCCGTCCAGTTACAGGGTGTTGTCCTCCACCTTCCTGAATGCACGCATCGCTACTATCAACTATTCTCCATCTGGTTTGTTCACTTACTTTCTATCCTCCGCCCGCATAACCTGACCCGTTCACCTTTACTCTTTTCTTTACAATAGGGCTTTCAAATATATCATGGCAGTACGGCAGTGAAGCATCGGTGATGAACACTGATGTCATGCTGTCGATGATGATGATGATGATGATGATTATGATGACGGTATGAGAGTGTTTCCGCTTCTTTAAGTCTATCGAGGAAATCCTGTTTGAACAATCGTTGGAATAGTGGATTATTTTGGAATTCCTGATTCACCAATTACCCTTCGCTGTCTTCGTTTGGTGCTGGCACTCTTAATCTGCAGGTGCGCTTGAACTTATTAGCTGCACATATATTTGTAGTCTGAACACAATGCTTCCAACCTGAGGGTCGGAAAGTAAGTCTGAGTCAGTGCGTCCTGCTAAGTGGCTAAGCAAGCATTCCGAAACCATAAAGTCATGAAATTTTGCTCAAGACTTAAGCGTACTTGAAGTATGCTTAATTATGTGAAGTCGACCGCAATCCATGTCTGAGGTTCGCATGCACTTCCATCAAAGCACTTGAAATGGAAGCACTTGTTACCGGAATGGAATGCATCAGCTGCGTCGTTTTGACAAAATGTTCGTCCAGTCGACCTGTATCAGTGGCTGATGAGAGTGTGACAACTGGTCTCCAAAAGGTATCAGTTCAAAAACAAGTATTTTATGACCAAATGCAGTGATTTCATTTTTCGCTGCTGTCCTTTTTGAAGGGAAATTAGAAGCGGTTAAGGTGATAAGATTTTACACATGAGGACAAAATGAAAAAAAGGAGGTTGAAAAATTACAAAAACGGTGCAATAATCGTTTTGCTAGGAGGTGGGACAAAAACGAAGGTGAAAATGTCGTTATTATGCATGAACATTTTATTAGACTAACTTGCCTCAAAGTCAAAGTGACCAGCAGCGTGACTTGCTCCCAATTTGACAGGATATAAGGCAATCTATTCTTTAGTCGTGAAGTCCACATCACATGATCACGTCCTTACGAGGTCTTCGAGTGGCGAATTCTCAGATAAAAGTTTGATAAATCATTCGAATCTGCTGCTGGATGCCGCTATGTTCTCTAAGTACAGATTAACCACTACCGATTGGCTGCGGAAGACTGAAAAGTTAAATGTCCAGGCTCATCCTCATCATCATCGACAGCATGATGCTACACTGCCGTACAAGGAGGGACTTTAGCTTAACAAAATAATTCCGAGGTGCCTACACCTCCAGACATTCACTCAAGCTATCTGGATAGAAACTGATAACGAGAAGAGAACAGACATCGGTTGGCAGCCATATCTTGTAGTGTCTCCAACCAGGCACAGTGAGGATCACGCGGTCCCCATCCTGGAAGGCGAGTAGCACCGACAGCACCCAAGCGTTTCGTGATCTCCTTCATACTCCTCTGCCAAGTCAAGGGTTGGCCACCTCTCTGTTTACGCCA